AAACTCGTAGCACAATAAGTCAACGAGCAAGAAATGAGAAAGACTGAAAATTGGCGTTCAGAAAATAAGGATTCTTTGGGAACTGTGCATAGAGATGTTTTCACTTGTGCATTTGTGTGCTATTGTTAGTGTTTATGAGTTTATGAATACGTAAATAACAAAGCAATGTTTCTTCCATCGAATGAAACCGGTTAGTTCAAGTATAAGTCGACTAAACCTCAACCCATTACGAGAAGTGCAGCGAAGAATTGAGTGCGAAGTCGATAATTAATAATATGAAGAAGAAGGTTCGATTACTCTGAATATATGTTCAGGCAGAGTTGGTAAATTGAAAAAGCCACCATTTAAAAAACAGGTGGTATTTGAACATTAGCATAAAAGAAAAAAAGAAGAAACGGGAAATGCTAGCACAAAATTGGAAGTAAGAGTGCTGAAATAGACGAAGAAGAAACGGAAGCATTTTAGACAATACCCGTCCGTAGTAGGTATTTCAAGGAATTTTTATTTCCCATCACTAACTGAAGGAAAACTCTCGCGAGCCTCTAGAAGAACAAATTAGGAAATGTGTAGCACTTAGCAACCGTCAACAACCCTGCTCTTTCAGCAGACATGGTTCAAGGGTGAATGACCCATCTTAAGCTATACAAAATGGCAATGGCTATATTAAGCCAGTTGTCAGCTGTCATTAAATAATGAGTGTCGAAGTCTGCAGGCACAAAAAGCCGTGGACACAGATAGACGAAAATAAATAGAATCTGCGGTTGGCAGAGAAATTGGAGTAAGTATAATTAAGAAAGTTTGAAGTAAATGAGGATTAAGATAACGAGAGGAAGGAAACCTAGGAGTAGTAGATAAAAAGGGGTAAGTTTGTGCCTGTATATGCATATGCGCGGATTCACACAAAGGATGTATGAGATAACACTCTAAAATCTGTTTCGACGTTGAAAAAACGAAACGTGGAACATTGTAAGATCGCCTTGACCTTCATCTGATAGGTTCAACAGAGCTTAAACCCTGCAATGGACAAGGATTAAGTGGTGTTAAGGCTGTCTGATAACACACAATAGACTCAATTAAATGAATTAAATCAAAAGAATATCGAAATAATGAGTAAAAGAATGAAAATTGAAACTCTTTCTTAGTATAAGAGTGACAGCAAAGAAGACAGCAATGCAAGTGTTTAACCTACTGGAGGGGTACAAAGCACGGGTCTGCACATAAGATCGACCGCAAGATCTGGAAGAAAAGGTTCCATTTCCGACAGTCCTGTGCGCCCCATTGGCATCCTTTTAATCCTGCTAAGAGGTACAGAGGCTGAGTCACTCATTGCTGTCTGTCCCGCCTCATGGCTTGCAGCGATGGGAGGCGAATTCTGTTGCTGATATCGGCGAGTCAATCGCAAAATTTCTGCTATGCGATGGGCCCTATGCACATGGGGAGGATGAAAAGCATCTGAGGCAAGGCGGCGCCTGCGGGCCGTGTTCCCCACAGTCTGACGGACGAGGCTAGCAAGACATCTTCGACTAACCACCTGACCGCTAACCAAAGGTCCGGCATCGAAGCAGCTGCCAGAGGCACGCGCTCGCAGACAGCCAACTCGCACTAAACCAGAATTCAACGGATGAAGGAGGATCACGAAAGGACAGTCGAAAAGGCCAGCGAGAACATGGATCTGGCTACCCAAACAGTTAGTCTGCTGGCCAGTGCGCGAAGCTGTCGATGATAAGCCAGCGGTCTCCGGCCTAGGTGATTTGATACCGGTTCCAGAAACCAAAGGCATAGGAGGAGGAGAAAGCGAAGCAAAGGAGAGTGGGGCAAGATCAGCTTCGAAGTAACGCCTCGCCTACAATTTGGAAATACATATATGCAAGAATGGGATCAGATAGGCATATTATTTAAAGAGAGCAATACTAAGTAATGAATATATTCACATAAAAACAGACATTAATTTTAAATGGTCAGACCTCGTTTTCGCAACTTGTCCAAATTCCTCTACTATAGTAGTTATTATATTTCCCACCTTTAGGCCGTGGACTTTGTACATTCCTAGACGTTTAGTCGGCATCGTCGCTGAGTCTTGTTATTTTGAGCTCCAAGCTACAACTTTGACGAGTAGTAGATCGGTGCTGAGAATGACAAGACACATTGGTAATGCCGAGGAAACATCTGGGAACGTACCAAGTCCACGGCCCAAAGCTGGGAAATATAACTACTATAGCAGAGGACTTTGGGCAAGTTGCGTCCAACTAGGTGGCCCTGGCAACACGACTAAGTTGCGAAAACGAGGTCAAGTCATCTCTATTCATCGAAAGAAGAATGCGAGAAAACAGAGGCCACAAAATCTTAGTAATAGCTACAACTTATTTAAGATTGTCAGAGCATGGAAATATATGAATGCGACAGTCTCAGCGGACACAATCAATTAAGAATTATCAACAGAAAAATAAATCAAGGCTAAAATAAGAGATAACTCAAAGAGGAATACGATTGCAGATAGACATCGTAGCGTATGGAATAAAATTTATCCTCCATCAAAAGCGACCTGAGAGTAACTACTAATTTAGCCTAGTTGATAGGATTTTGAGGCAATTATAATGGCGTTAATATTGCTCATAAGGCTATTTAACAGTATGAAAAAGGATAATGGT